AAAAAGGAATTGTTGATAAAGACGACGACGAATGAAAAAGAACGATTTAAATGCACTTTAACTGCATGAAAAGAGAGACACCAACGAAGTTACTTTTTGCCAGTATACTCATAAAAACCTTCACCGCTCTTTTTTCCCAATTTCCCTTCTGAAACTAATTTGTCTAAGTATGGACTTGGCTTGAACAAGACTTCGTTTGGATATGATGCATGCCAGCCTGAAAAAAATCAATCTGAAAATCCCAGAAGTAAAATCATAAATAGACTTCATATTTCAAGCAACTCTTGTTTGGTGAAACGAAGAAACGAATCTTAAAAAGTTCTTCATCTTTCTTTTCTTATTAACTTGATATCAGGAGCTACTGATTTTAACAGTAAAAGTGTTGAAAGAATATTATACCATCTAAAATGAATTTCATAGTATCCAATCCAACGTAATCAGCCAACTCAAATGGACCCATAGGATACCCAGCACCTAATTTCATGGCTGCGTCAACATCTTTAATTGTCGCATCACCACGCTCAACCATCCGTAATGCCTCGAACATATACGGGACCAAAAGCCGATTAACAATGAAGCCCGGAGTATCCTAAAATATAATTTCAACTGTTGCAGGCGTCTACATGTACTTTGTTTCCTACCATGCAGGTGAGCAATTGCTATTAACAATTACTTGAGGCTGGAAGTATGCAAATTTCAATGACAACCTTGCAAGCAACCGGAACTTTGCCAACACCTTTGGCGAACTCCATCAGTTGGTCGTAAACAGTTTGTTTGGTCATATCTGTTCGAACAACCTAAAGCACTCCGGCAAATTGGTACCTCGATTACGAGTCAAAATTACACACACAAAAGACGTATTGAAATGAACTGAAAAGTTTCTACCTCAACAAGCTTCATCATCGGCACCGGATTGAAGAAATGAAGACCAGCAAAATTTTGTGCATATTTAGAGTCTTTGCTTATCTCCTTCAAACTGAACGACGATGTATTAGACGCTAAAATCGCATCACTGAAACAGGTAAAATCGTTTCAGAAACGAAAAATGTTTCTGTAATGCATTTTTGGTTAAAATCCCTCTTTTAGTATACCATATAAATTAAGTGATAAACCAAGAAAAGCTTAAAGTTTTTAGTCTTTTGCTAAATAAAGTTAACAGATGGCGAGCCGCTTATAATTTTATGACTACATATAAGTCAAATAATTTTGTTTCTTGATGGAAACATGAAAGCGATAGTTTTTTAGATAGAAGGAACGAAAAAAACATACGGAGAACAACTGCGTTCGATTTCGCGCAGTAATTTTTGCTTTAAACCCAAATTTTCTGTGACTGCCTCTATGACCAAATTTGCATTTTTAACTGCATCTCCAATAGCAGTAGAAAACTTTATATTTTTCAAGGTTTCTTGAACCATCGATGTGCCAGCCTAATAGTACTACCACGTTTACATTTCTAATTTCAAAATAAAGTATCGAATATATAAATTAAAATGTTGTCGTACGATGCGCTAGCTTCTCGTTTCCCAATCACAGCAAATTCAAAAAAATGAAAAAAAAAGAGGCGATACCTGTGGATCGGTGAATTTTTTTTTAGCAACACGTTCCAAACTTTTTTGGATTGATTTTTCTGACTTGTGGAGAATTTCCTCAGTTTGGTCAACCAGTATAACAGAATGCTTGGCTTGTGCCGCAACCTGACAGTAACAGAAAGGAAGGGGATTACGTCATAATAACGAGGACAGAAATAGAGCTAAAACGATCAAAAAACAATAGTCAAATAAAAAAAATACCTGAGCAATTCCACTTCCCATCAATCCAGATCCAATTATTGTTATGTTTTTAAGTGGTGGGGTAGCCATTTTGTTGTCTGCAATACGGCTATATTCAGAGTCCTCAAA